AGTCCCCTCCTACGTCAATCATTAGTACAGCTGGTCCTTCCAGGAGTGATTCCAGCATTGCGTCGGAGTTTTCTTTGTGTTCTAGGAAATTCAAGAAACGAGTTCTCCACATTTGGTACTCCCCTTTCCTCAGAGATGGAGGAGTACTGCTGTTTCCTTGCGCATTGGATTCAGAAGCCATTCCTGTAGCTGTAGAAAACTGACCGTTCGAGAAATAAGATCAGAAAATTTACTAAGTCAAGAACTCGAGTTCCTGAGTATTAAAAGCCTAAACTCGAGGTCTGGGGAACTCGAGGTGAGAGTTCGAGTTTATGAACTCGAGGTCAAGAGTTCGAGTTTCCAAAACTCGAGGTGTAAACTCGCAGGGTCAAAACTCGTGGTCAGACTGCGAGTTTGCAGGCTGCGAGTTTGTAGACTGCGAGTTGTAGACCGCGAGTTGTAGACTGCGAGTTCTTGAGCTCGAGTTTGCAGACAGCGAGTTTCTCAACTCGAGTTTGCAGATGCGAGTTTATGCAATAACACCTTGGGCTGCGAATTCCTGAAAAAATAAAACTTCAGATTTTCAGAAAAACAAAAATGGTAGGTTGTAGCCCTTGTTGAAGAGATCCTTTTACCCAAGTTTCAGGTCAAAAAGCTGCACAGAGCTTAGAGAAACGAGGGGTGCGAGTTCATGGGTGCGAGTTTACAGAGAACGAAAAAGTGCGGAAACAAAAAAGGAAGATATACTGCTTGATCGTCTTTGAAACGCGATTCTAACAGTATAACTTTTACAGTATTTGGTGCAGAAATAAGATTACAGATGATAAACTCGATATTCTACAAAAACAGAGTCTTTCGCAGATAGTTCTTCTGATCAGCTCTCGATCGGCTCTGATACCATTTGTTAGTCCCTGTTTTCTATAACAACAGTATAATATGGCATACAGATGAAAGATTAACAACAAAGATGAACACAGAAAGATCAAGTGTAAACCTTCTCTGATATACCGTGAACCTTTCGTACAAGAATGATAAGCGCTAAGGCTATTTTGAGCAGATACGAAAGTTAACCGCAAACCTGAGTCCTCCTCCCTCTTTTATAGGCGAGGCTCAGGTATGCGTAAAAAGGCTTCTCGCCTGAGTATGGGCCTAACACTTGGCCCATATTGAATACTATTCTAACAGATATATTTAATCAGTACAGAATAGAAATAGTAAACATCTAACTTACTACAGACAAAACAGACAAACTTGATTCACAATAAAATAGTCTTCAACATGTTGGTAACAACTTGGCGCACATGAATCACATCAAACAACATCTTGATCATCAATTTACGACCAAGGATGTTAGTGCGCTCAAGTATTTTCTTGGAATCGAAGTGGCACGCTCGTCTGATGGATTTGTTCTTAGTCAATGAAAATACACATTGGACATCATAGAAGAAATTGGAATGCAAGGCCGCCCAAAGCTTGTTTCCCATGGATCAAAATCTCAAGTTGCGCCCTTCAGATGATAGTCCTCTTGTTGATGCCTCCATGTATAGACGACTTATTGGCCGCTTAATCTATCTGACAGTGACACGACCCGACATTGTGTTTGTTGTAAATCTATCGAGCCAATTTCTTTCAGCGCCTCGTCAAACCCACTCAGATGTTGCATTCGACATTCTTCGGTATTTAAAAGCTACACCCGGTATGGGCATTTTTCTTTCCTCCACTGCTGATTTCACCTTGCATGGATATTGTGATGCTGACTGGGCATGTTGCTCTTTCACTCGACGTTCTAGTTCTGGTTATTTTATTACTCTTGGTGGATCTCCTGTGTCTTGGCGTACGAAAGAGCAAAGTGTCGTCTCTCGCTCATCCGCTGAAGCTGAATATCGGTCCATGGCAGTTGCTGTTAATGAGATTATTTGGATAAGTTGGCTTCTACGTGATTTTGGCATGTATCTTACCTTGCCTACAACCCTGTTTTGTGATAACCAATCAGCTCAACATATTGCTATCAATCCCGTTTATCATGTACGTACAAAGCATGTGGAAATGGATTGCTATTTTATCCATGAACGTGTCACGAGCCGCGACATTCAGCCTGAACGTATCTCCACGGAATAGCAGGTTGCTGACATTTTTACTAAGGTCCTTGGTGCTGACCATTTTCAATTTCTCTGTGACAAGTTGGGTATTCGAGATCTTCATACTTTAACTTGAGGGAGAGTATTACGTGATAATAATCCCATGCATACATGGAAAGTGCAGATCTCATGCATTATGCAAAGGAATGTATCAATTTCACATATTTTTTATTATTATTATAATATCTACTTTAATTGTAGTTATTTCCCTTCCTAGTATAGCACTAGCTTGCTGTTTATATGTGAATAATTGTAGTTATTTCCCTTCCTACTTTAAATGCATGCTACGTGAGGTTATAATAAAATATTATTCCACTTTTATATTTAGTTTTATCCATGTGAGGTCTCATCGTGATGTTTCTTCTTCTAAGTTGACGTATTTGAATCATTTGAGAAATAGAGGAGTAAAAATAGCTGATGGTTTTCGCTGTTTATAAGCTGAAGCTGGTGGCTCTCCTTCAATTGGTTTCGAATTGCGCGATGTCTACAATGAATTGAAAAAAACAAAAACTTTTAGGTTGTGATGCAAATACGTTGATTGCCATTTTTAGGAACATGCAAACAAACGAAGAAGACTTTTTCTTCTCTTTTGAAGTTGATGATGATGGTTCCTTAATTAGCTTCTTTTGGAGAGACAAGCAAATAAAGGAGGACTATCTATTTGGCGTTTGGAGCATTGGTGGTTCATGACACTACATATCGTACAAATAAGTATGATATGATTTGGGGTCCATTTGTAGGTATTAAAAATCATACGCTCTTTACCAAAGCTTTGACTTCAATGGATTCTGTTCATCCAATTCAAAAAGCGTTATGACATATCAGTCTGCATCCATGGCTGCTGCAATATCTAAGTCTTTCCTAGTTCAAAACATTGTCTCTGTATATGGCACATCCTTAAAACTCTCAAAATCATATACGAGAATTGAGGAATGACGAAGGATTTTTGGACTTATTTGATCATGTTTTTAAATTGTGTCACACAGTTTCTGAGTTGGATTATTATTGGAACAAGTATCTTCCATACTGAAATTGTTTTATTTCTTTTTTATTAATTTATTATTTGCAATGTCAATTGCTTCATTGTGATGAGTATTCTTCTGTTCTTTTTATATTTTTATTCTTGTAGGATGGTGACTGCTTTCAATTGTTCTGAAAATCCTTGGTTGAAGAAACTTTATGGAATTATGGAAAAATGGTGTCCAATTTTTTCAAAATGGTACTTTTCTGCTGGCATTTTAGCACGAGCCACCATCTTGCGGGGCATATTAAGTTGTCCAACACCAATTGTGAATAGAAATACAAACCAACACATAAAGCCTTGTGCTACTCCTTCTAATAGGTTGATCTACCCAAATCTTAATACCCCTTACCGTGGTGATTCAAGAGAGGCGAATTGCCCAAGCATCCATAGCTAGGGAAAATAAGAAAGATGGTTAGTTCTCAATAGCAAAACCCTCTTCTTTCTCCTCTAGCCGTAGTCAATTATAGGCTTCGTTAAGCTTCTCCGTAATGGAAAAGATTGCTTAAAAAGTCCAAAACCGACAGAAGTGATCGGAGACGCACAAGAAACCCTAAATGAAAGTATTAGCAAGGTTATCAGTCGTTTATTTGGAGAGAAAATTGTGGAGCTTACTTTTATAACTTTAAGAGAGGGATTATAAGTTAATCAATGAGGTCCAATTTTTTCTAAATTTCCTAGCATTTTTTTTGCATATTGTTCTAAACCTATTGTAATATATGCTCTAGTTAATGTCAACATCCTTGATTGGAATGAGATTCGAACATGTGATCTCTTTGAGAGATCATGATGTCATGAGATCACAAGTTACTTGGCCTAAATTTCCTAGCATTAGTAAATTAATTTCCTAACATGGTAATAGGTTCATGTTCATTGCTCTACTATAACCAAATATCACATTTTTAACTAATTAAAAACAATATACTTGGTAGATTTACCCTAATAAGTAAATAGACTACTTTTGGAAATCAAATACTCCCTCCGTTCCTATTAAAACTTCCAACTTTCTTTTTTCATCCGTTTCAATTAAAACTTCCACTTTCCCTTTTTAGTAAAGAATTTGTGGTTCACAACAATTTCTTACACATTTCTCTCTCCTCTGCACAACTCTCCACCACACAATACCCACTATCTTAAATTGTGTGCCAAACCTATTTGGAAGATAAAATAGGAACGGAGGGAGTAGTAAAAATTTGACTTTCTTATATTTTTATTTAAATGGTCAAATTGAAACTTTAATATGGGTGGAGAGTGTTTATCGGATAGAAGGAGAAATAAGGAAACCAAATACTCCGTACGTTACAGTCTTGTGTAATAATGCGTACTTTTCTTGGTTTAAGAATGTATGCTTAAAAAAGTTCTTAGTCATCATTAAAATATATAAAAAATTGTATTATTAATATGTTTATAAAATCACAAAATTCAAATTTGAACATGAAAATTTTGAAATTACTTTTTTTTAATAAAACACAACTACATTAACTAAGAATAAAAAATTATACTCCCTCCGTCGAAAGTTGTCCCAAAATGGTTTTCCACTTTCTATTTTAGGTATGTAAATAAGAATAAAGTGACAAATTTACCCTTACTTTTACTTTTTTCCATTAACTTAAAGACATCTACTTTTAGAAAGATGACCAAAAGTGTAAAATGAAAACATCATTTATTGTCATTCCTTAATCCTTGTGCCGATCAAAGTTTGTAATTCAATTCGGGACGGAGGGAGTAAATAATTTTGAGATATAGCCATATAGAGAATAACAATAATCATTATTTGAGAATCTCTCATTAATTAATTAATTAATTAATTAATGATTGGGTTATAGATAGATTTTTAGAAGCATATATACCGAGAGAGGAACCCAAAATCGAGCAGAGGCTAGGTCGGGGCGTGAGCGTCAAATCTACATATCCTCTCTCTCTCTCTCTCACATCCATAGATTCGATTCAATCGCCGATCATTTCTGCTCCTTCAATCTCTCATTCTCAATAATGCTCCCTGATTTTCGAGGTAATCTCTTTCATTCACTACTTTCAACATTTTTGTGTGTGCCATTTCTTTATTCTCAGTTTCTGTTAACCTTTATCATCATCATCATAAATCTATGATAACAGACTGATTCTAAGCGAAAGAGATTATTATGATCTCTGGGTTTTGTTCTGGGAGCTCTGTTTTGAAGACCCTCTCCTTCAAGTTTGCATCTTGGTTTCCTCTTGATTTTTAAGTGTTTTGATGTTTCTGTCACTACATTTCTTGTTCTTCCCAATAATTGGATTTTTTTTTGTTTTTTATTTGTTTGTTTTTTATTCTTCGTTTTTGGGTCCCTTCCAGCTCTCAGGAATCTATGATTGCCTAAAAAAAGCACTTTTAAAATTATTTCATTCTCATTTGAATATTCCATTAAAGTGTACTGTATTTTTCTTAATAATGGTTGAATTTTGTTTACAAAAAGAAAGAGAAAGGAGGAACAGTGAAATAAAGCAATATTCTTGTTGATGGAAGTAAATAGTATAATTGTTGTCTTTTTTTGGTAGTTTCCACCATTATATGCGGGTCTGTTTCAAGAATATCTTTTATGCTTCAACAGAAAGAGCATTTCGATTTTCTCCAGTAATCTTGAATTTTAAAAAACAAAAAATAATAATGGAAATGATCTTTTATTCTATTTTTCCAATAATAACGGGAAAAGGAAAAAAAACAATTTGAAGTGGTTGGGAATAAATGGTGTTTGTTGAATAGATACCAATATGAGAGTTATGGCCAAATCTGTTCTGCAAAAGTGACTGCTGATTTCTGGGTCTTGGCTATGTTGTATGGTACAACTGTAAAGGTTCCTTTTTATGGAAAATGGGATCTCCTTTTTAAATCTTAAACTACCCCAAAATAACCTTATTCAATACGGAGTATTTAACTCTCCCAATTTTATTTTATCCCTAAATTATTCTCACTTTTCTTTTAAGGATGTCCTAAAAAGATTGTAATTGCTATTGTTCTTTTTCTATTTTTAGAAACCAAATCTTAATATTTATGGAGTACTTTGTTAATAACATTACATAGTCTAAACAGGAATGTTTTGGGCCTGGGTGGTAGGTACTTAGCTTTTCCGCATTTCCTAATCAATATTATCATTCATAGTGAAATTGCATTGTTTATGTTATTTAAAAAATATTCTTTTATAATTAAATAAGCTGTTGTTTCTACTCTTCTATATAATTTTGGTGTAGTTTTTAATATGTTAGTTGATTTCTTTTATTAAATTAACTATTACCAAAAATAAAGTACAAATACCGGTGGGCGTAGCTCAACCGGTAGCAAGGGAGTGTCACAAGGGTTAGGTCCCAGGTTCGAATCCCGTCAACTGCGATGAGAGGTTACCCCTAAAAAATGCATAGGCCTCTGCAAGTACTGGGAATAGAGTTCCACTCTCTATCTGTCAAATTGTGATTATAGTCCAATTTACATCCTCCCAACGTACCGTTCTGTCGATGCGGGGGGCCCTCAGGGATGGGGTTTCATCCTTTTTTCCCATAAAATATGATAGATAGTTAATTGTAATTATATCTCCAATTGTAAAAAGAAATACTTGTACGTAGTATGAGACAAATTAGGAAAGACCATTTTTCAACAAAAAAATGAAGTGAAAAAGGACACAGATTAAAAGTATACTTATATACTACAAGCTTAAATTAATATATTATGTACAAAGTACTAGTATAAGATAATGCACTCGTCTCCAATAGTCTATCGTGTAGTACAAATTAGCTTTAAACTATTCAAGAACCTTATCATGCTTTTGGTTCTATCCTTTCAACTAAATGCCACAATGATGTTGGACTTTTCTTACCTGTAAAAATCCACCCTCTCCCTATTTCAAAGTTACCTTTGGTTTTTTATTTGTCCATTTTCTTTGGAAGATTGATTCAAAATTCTTTGGTGCAGGATTGGCTTTGAGCTGCCAAGAAATGGATGGGGATGCATTTTCTGGGGCACAGATAGATGGGAGGGTATTGCAGACATTTCAGAAAAGCTTTGTGCAAGTTCAAAATATTTTGGATCATAATAGGCTGCTGATTAGTGAAATTAATCAGAACCATGAGTCCAAAAGCCCGGATAATTTGACCCGAAACGTTGGTCTGATTAAGGAGCTAAACAACAACATCAGAAAGGTCGTCGATCTCTACGCTGATCTATCGACCTCCTTCGCTAAATCCATGGATGCTTCTTCCGAAGGCGACTCTACCGGTCACAAGAGGCACAGGCCTTACTAGAATGGCAAGACTTCATTTTTCATGGGAAAAGAAATCATAGATATTTGTAGTGAGATCAATTCTTTGTCCTAATTAATGTCACTGCTAGAAATAATTCTTCAAACAAAAGGGAAAAAACTCTGCTGTTGTTAATGTGTATGCAGATGTATGTACTTGGAGGAAGAATGTTTGTAACTTTGTATTTTCTGATCTCCTGTTCTGATTGTTCTTATGCTGGACAACTTATTGTCATTAGTAAAACTAGAATTTTCACCCCGGCGTTGCACGGGATGAGATCGAATTCATAATTATTAATTAAATTCTTTAAATGATATATAACTATAATGGACTTTGATAAATTTTGATTGAAAACATTTTTTGAAAGAAATCGTCTCTATTAAAATAATTAGAATCAGAATTCTTACATTCAACCTTCCAAACACTAATAACCATAAGGCCTCTCAGTCTCCGATCAGATTTAGAACGCACCCATGTTTGAACAATACCTTTTGTTAAACGTGCGAGACATTTGAAGTAACTATCAGCGTTAAAAGTCACAATACATCCGCCAGACCAACAAATGTAACAGCCCACCCAAAAACTAACCACAAGTCTTGAGATTGAAAAAAATACAACATAGAAAGAGTTAATATTGAAATGAAAGGAACAATAAATAGTAAGATAAATTTTTTCGATGGTTTCTCCCACCTTCCCCGCTATATTCAAGTTGAAAATTCATCTCCAAAAAACTAATACCTCATTCCCTTTATAGCGGTGGTTCATGAAGAGGATGTGCCATCAGTACCCACATTTCAAACTTGAATGCCTCTATCGTAGTTTGGGAAGAATTCTCAGTAGACTACTCATGTCGAATCTTTCATGTTAATTAACTAAAATATCCTTCTTATACCATGTGAGTTACAGGGGCGGCCCTAGGGGGGTGCAAGGGGGCGGGCGCCCTAGGCCCCGAAAAAGTTGGTAAAAATAGGCCCAAATTTAGTTCTTTGTAATAAGTGTGAATAGGCTGATTTTTCAGCCTTAAACTAACAAGTTTTCGAGCTGAATTTGTTGAAGTTCTTCGGAATGAATTTTTTTGGTGAAAACTTATGATTATGTTCTCTATGATGTGTAGATAATGTAAAAAATAAGTTTAAAGTTCAATTTAGAAGTCTGTTAAATGAATTATTGGAAAACACTGCATTTTTATACATATTTTGGCGCATTATTTTTCAGGAATTTACTTAACTCACTTCACGATTGAATTTTAAGCTGAAGTTTTATGGATATAATTTACACTTGATGAAAAACATTCTCTTAAAATGTCATAAAAAATCTACTTGAAAGCAAGATTAGTCTGATATGATTATTTGATTAGTTTATTAATTGATTCCATTCATAGTTGATTGTTTGATTTCTTAATTGTTGATGGTTTTCTATTGAGTGTTGGTGTCATAACTTGTTCATTTGGTTAGACAAACATTTTAAATTATGATAAAATATATAAATTTTATTAATTTCAACGTGTAATAAAACTAAAAAGGATTGAATTTGAATAGGATAATAAAAAAGAGGAGAAGATTAGAGAAAGCGGTGTTAAGTAAAAAAAATCAAAGGAAAAGTTTGTTTATCTAAAGAAGTCAAATTCTGAATGTCCTCTTCAAGATGAGAACTCATAGAAGAATAATAATTTAGCTACTGAAAATGAAATGATTCAAAATGATTACATCATTGGAGGGGGAAATTTCGGATGTGATAATAATAGAGTTAAGCATTGGTAAAATGTACAAATAAAAATTATCATTGTTTCCTTCCTAAATAAGGATCATCAATACTATAATACGGAGTATGATTGGTTTAGACAAAATAGGGGTTTTCAATTTTTTATAAATCTCATGAATTTGCTTTTTTTTTATCTTTAAATATTATTGTTATGAATGTTAGATTAGATATAAAAGAGTTTTACAATTTTTTGTAACATTAGGCCCAATTTAATTTTTGCCCCTAGGCCTTTGAACAAGCAGGGCCGCCCCTGGTGAGTTGTATCTTTCGTACTATCTCCACCTTATGGCTGCTTGGTTTCTTGCCTTCTTGCCTATGCCTACCAAAGATCAAGCCTCCAAATCCTACAAAGGCATACTCCGCTAGTATCCCTGGGTCGTAGTTAAGTAGTTAGATTTAAATTTTACCTGTTATTTGTTTAATCACTTGCTTGATAATTTTAAAAATTAAAATTTCCCAAAAAAAATATTAATAATGAAAAAATTCAAACTCTTGATAACCTTTTTTTTTCAACTCAAAGTTTAAAATTAGTGTTAAGATATTAATATAGCACTAAGTTGTATGCTAGTTTTGTTGACCAATCAAATTAAACGAAACAAATTCAAATGAAAATAAAAAAATGATTTGCGATGAGTCATTTTGATTAGTTTGATAATTGTATTAGTTCAAATAAAATTGAGACATATTTAAAAAAATAGAACAAATTTTTGAAATATATGAAAATCAACAACAATTTTAACCAATTCAAATTAAAATATATTTGATCTTGTAAATTAATCATTCTCCCAAGTCTCAACTTGTTTGTACATTTATATCGTTAAAAAACGGTCATCACTCATCAGACATCCATTGTCAATAAATGGTAGATGCCGCAAATGCAAACGGAATGCCACCTCATTTTACAATTCTAACTTTTGAGCAAAAATCAGCATATTCAAATGGAAAACATGATTTCAGCCACGAAGTTCATCTTACAATGGCTTAGCATGAACCTTAAAATATGCTAATACCTAAACTTGAACAATTCTGTCACTAAAATTACTTCATTATAAACACACACACTCATATTGAATAGTAGATTGCATCAAAGTCTTCTTATTTTTTTCCATAAAACTTAAAAACCCATCAAACTACTCTTATAATGTCTTTGGTATTTCTCTTCTTGCATACCCCTAGCAAAATCTCACGTTCAATGCAAAGTGTAAAATGCGCCCACACTTTCTGTATAATGATGTGCCCAATAGATGAGTAGTCTAGTGTTAATTCTACTATTCTATTATTGCTTTCAAGCTAATTTTTAAAAGTTACACCACAAAGAATTGCTCAATATGAGGATTTTTCATCAACAAAGTATAGACATACAATTTTGTTATACATTTTTACTAAACTACACACATTTAACATTATGGGTTTTCTAATTGGATAGTTTATTAATCAAAGTTGGAAATTTTAAAATGGATTATAAAGCAACTCAAGAAAATTGCAGATATTGAACTTTGAGAATAAATATTTAAAGTTGCATTCATGGAATGAAGAAAACTACAAAACATGTCTAATTTAGCAAAAATAAGAATTGAACCCAGTTCTCAGGTCTTGGTATCAATGACAAATGTAGCCACCTTGATTTCTTCCTCATTACTAATCAGCTTCATAGTTGATTATCTAGAATATTAAATAGGAAAGAATAAAGTCATATGGGATATGGTTCATGAGGCCCGTTCCAATTTTATTTGACAATGACAATTGTAATAAAAAGATTGTTGAGTAATCAAGCGAGGAATCTAGGATGTTTTTACTTGGATCGTAATTTGCTGGTCTGGTCTGATCTGGTCTGGTTTGGTCTGGTTTCTTTGTATTTTTATAACTATCCAAGTCTGGTCTGGTCTGGTCTGGTCTGGTCTGGTCCAGGAGGAATTACAGTCCAAGTAAAAACATCCCTAATTGAGAACTTCCTAAAATTAGTACGGCCATAACCATCACTATCTAATATTCCAAAGTGGTTGTAATATTTTCCCTATTTCCTCAATACTTTGTTGATTAGGTCGTGCTCCCCAAAATTTATCCTCGTTGCAGACATACTGATAGAGTATTAACTCCTAGATTCTAGAGAGAAGTGAGAGCTAGAGAGAGAAGTGCAATAATATGCTTCAATGGAATGATTTCGTAACCCCTATAACTACTCCCAAGGGGAGTATTTATAGAGAAAATTAGGGTCGGGCTCCCAAGCCTTGGGCTTGGGAGGCCCATTTACAACTGGACCGCTACTGGGCCGAATACAAAGCCTCTAATGGGCTGTACAAATGAGTAAGTATAGAATCCGATTCTGGGAGGTCTTCGTGGCCGACGAGGGCGTGGCCGACGAGGGCACGGCCGACGAGGGCGCGGCCGACGAGGGCACCCGAGCCCCTTAAACTCAGGACCGTAATCTGAGTTGGCCCCTTTTCGGCCGACGGGGGCGTCTTGGCCGACGAGGGCGCCACTCTGTTGTCTTGTGCTCTGTTCTTCCGAGTATGTGGGTCCTGGAGCTCAGACCCATATACTCCATCAGGAGTCCCCCACTCTCTAAGCTGAGACGTAGACGAAGTGAAGGAGAGTAGATTTCTGTGCTTTGTTGCTTTTGGCCGACGCGGGCATTTCCAGGCCGTTAGCCGTTGCGGTATTGGCGCTGTTTCCGTTTTGGTGATCCTGTTATGTGCTTTGGCCGTTACCTGCTCCTCGCTGTGGGCGGGGAGGCCGTTGTTTCCTTGACGTGTTCGTTTGAGGACGGTGAGTGTCTTGTTCCGATGTCGGTCGTTGAAGGCGCGCTTTCCCTTTCCTGGACGTTGGTGGTTGAAGTTTATGTTTGGGCCGGTGAGGTTGTTCCTTGCTTTGAGGATGATGGCGTCCTTTCCTTTGGGTGGCCGATGAGGGTGCTCGCGCACTCCTTTTGGCCGTTGCTGGTTGGCCTTCGTGTTCTTGGCCGAAGGGCCCGTCAAGATTAATTGTTGGCGGAGGACGATGAGTGTCCTTGCCTCTAGTGGCTTGTTGGCCGTTCCTAGTGACGTTATGGGCCTTTGGCCGATGAAGTTCTGTTGTGCTGTATGGATGATGTGGCCATGCTTTGTGGTTACCTTATTCGCGTTCTCTTTTGTTTTGTTGAGGCCGGTGTAGTCCCCCAGTCCCCCACTGCTTCAGGCCGAAGAGTGTGAGGGGTGAAGGAGTTGCTTGAGTCCCTGGCCGAAGCGGTCTCGCCGTAGTCCCCCTGAATCCAACTCTCATGGCGATTTTCTGGCCAAGGTAACCCTGTGGGAGAACCCTTGTGCGCAGATCGCTTGTAGAGAGTTATCATCAAGGGTTATTACGAGGAGCCGAAGGCTGTGGGCTATTTGTCCCCTTTGTTCTGTGGCCGTTACGTTCCTGGCCGTTGTCGTCTCCTTATTGTCTGGCATTTGTGATATTGGCAAGCAGATGGGACGTTGTGGGCGCTTGCTGGCAGTGGTAAAGCCGTTGAGCGTGTGTAGGCCGTAGAGTCTGATTTGCCAGTGATCCGTTAATGTGGCTTGGTCCTGGCCCGTTGGTGACGTGGTG